TATGACACAGTAACAATACGAAATCCGGGCTTCCTGCTTGTTCTTAAAGCTCGTCCCTTCCCTCAAACGTCCCCTCCTCTTGTGCTCCCCCTTTTATATCACTCGAGCCCCCTTTCTCGAATGTCCCCTCACTGTTTATCCCCTAGCCAATCCCTGTGCTTCTCCTCTAATGGTTCCCAATTGTCATCTTTGGGTTTTCTCGTTCAAACCTTTTCCTCCAATCACTTCAAAAGCCCTGCCTCCCGACCAATCACCATAGAGGCCTCTTTCCGCCAATCGGAGACCTTGGCCTACTTTCGAATAACCGTTAGGCTGTACATTGGCTTGGGGTGATTGTTAATTTCGGTCCATACACATGGATCACAAAGAGCTGTATACAATATGCATAAAAACGAGCATAAAAATCTATCAATTAAAATAACTGGTAATAATAATAATAGGAGGTTAAGAGCCTAAAGATAAAATGAGGTGAAAGCCTTCTTAAATAGGAATGTTTTAAGTCGAGGCTTAAACATCACAATTGAAGCCGAATCCCTGATGCCTTTTAACAAAGCGTTTTGCGCAGGCAAAAGCCCGGTCCCCCGCATCGAGTGGAGCCTTGCCCTGGGAGTGTAGAGGGGACCCAGATCCGCAGACCTCAGAGACCCTCAATAGAACACAGTTGGGGGTGGGCAAAGCAATTCGTGAAGGTGGTTGCATCACTGCCGTCAATGTTGTTTTTCCCCATTTCATACATTTTCCTCCGGAGCCAAGGCATTTCGCTTTTGTGAAGCGACTTGACAACGACACGACAGACACTTTGTCCGATGTTATTTGAACATCCACCTCGCACAACAAAATCAACTGTGTTCTCGTCGGCTATTAAAACCAAGTCGGTGTTGTGAAATTGTTCGCGATTGAATGTTTGATCAGACCCTCAGAGCTGGAATGGGGTTTTTTTTTCGTTTTAAAAGGAATATTCTGTTACAATGGTTTTTTTTTTTACGAATGTGTACCTAAATACATTATCTAGTACTGTTGTACGGATCAATCCTCAAATAATGATTACTTTTTGTCATGTAACCCAGGTCAAAAGAGGGTAGTGTTTTGTGTGTCTCAAAGAGCCTGTATTTTTTTTCTCCTGGTAAACGGATACAACTAATTCAGCAAAGGATCTCAGTAAAATGTAATACCAACTTGAGTTTATTGAGCCCTGTATATTTTCAAAAGCCAGCATAAATGTACGTCCTGACTCCGCAATGTACTTTTCATCAAACAATCCCATTGGGGGAAAGGGTCAAACACAATCGTTGGCCTTTAACCCTCTTTTGAAGATGATGGTGACGACGACGATGATGATGATAATTACCAATTAGCCCCAAAGATTGTGGTCTTTTTTTTTCCAAACAGATCGGGACAATTGCTAAAAAACGAGAGGCATTGCTAAGCAACAGGCGTTATCAATTGCGATGCTGCACAATAATTTACTGCCCTCGACCCCGCCATCCCGCTCGCTGCAAAGCAAAATACGGGTTGGTTCAGTGGTCCAAATGCGTTGTTTGCTGTGGATTTTGGAGAGCTCATTCACCAGAGACTGGTGGCAATAAGGACTGCGTAATGTTGTTTATTCCGGTGCAGAGCGGTTGTGGTGGAGCGCAGTTGCGTGAGTCTAGGGAAATATTTTATTTGATATGTTTACTGAGCTGAATACAGCTGCTCAGTTGTGATTCAAGGTCTGTGGGTCAAATTTCACTTATTGCGACGATGTGCTGCCTCGTTAAACTCCGGTGCTGTTATTTTTTTTTTAAGCTCAAGTAAGTTAGGAGTCATGCTAATGTACTCTTAAGTCTCCAGCGCACATAGTGTGGAAACCGTTGGTAATGTGGTAACGTTGCTCAGCAGAAGCGTGGTCGCCGATTGTTGTTGCAGCGGTCAGAGGTTTGAGTTTCGATTCCTGCAGGCAACCCTGGTTAATACTGCAAGTGTATTTACCATGAAATACTACAAGCCATCTCCTTCACAGTTGACATTAACAGATTCCTTGATGCCATTTAAAAAATGTAGGCCATTGTGTGTGCCAGTATCATGGTTCAAATTTGCCATTTGTGGAAATGTACCCTCAACTTACTCAATTGGGATTACACACAGCAGCATTGCCCTCCACTGTGAGACTACAGCGGACAATGTGTCGGAACCATAGCACCTTCGTGATAGCCTTGAAATACTAGGATGATGTGAATATCAAATGAATGAACGGATTCAGGTCTGAATGTAAACCGAGATTTACATGGTGTGTTTTTCAATCAAAATATCTCTGTCTAAATAATTTTTTTAAACCCTGAAATGTGGCTGTGGATAATGATAAAATAATAATTTGTACTTAATTATTTATCCAGGAAAGCCATATTGGGTTGTAGGACTCTTTTTCAGGAGGTTCCTGCATTGAGTCTAAAAAATTTTAAATGTTTCGAGTCAATTAGTGATGAGTTGTCATTATACCTCCGAATAGCATGGTTGGCTATGTACGGTACGAAAGACGTTAAACATACACACGTACAAGTGGGAGGAAAAATCGGAGCACCCAGAGAAAACCCACGTGCGCGAGGCGGCAACAACAGTAGTCTATCACCGTACAGATAGAGACAGATAGCGATTAGGCCACTGCCCATACTGCCTTCTCCTGGCGAGCCAGGGTATAGCGCCTCGACGCGCACACTGCTGGATTACGGGCGTGCGCCACCACCGCCCGGCTGCTAACAATTAGCCACGACTGCCATGGGAGCCAAATTTTTGACTATAGAAACGGCTGTAAAATGTTCAATCTCTCCAAGTGTGGCTTACCAAGCCACAATGAAACTTGCCGCTCACTTGAGATTCAATCGCGCGACTCATTTGTGATGTAATTGAAAATGGTTAAAAACAAGATAACAGTGTTATCAAGTTTTATTGAATTCTAATAACCAATGCTATTTTTTGTTACAGTCATGACGTAGAATCGCTACTCATAGCATGGCACATTGGAGGTGTCAGCTGGGAAATACGGGAATGAGAATGGAAATTGTATAGATTATATATATGAGTGGGCTTGCAGTGGTTTATGGATGCTTGGTGTTTGTACGTGAAAAGCCGGGCGTTTTGGTGGACGTGCTGTGCGGTGCATTGCTTCGTATTGATTGAGTGGGTCAAACCGATCGTTGTTTGTGTCTTGTTTTTTTTGCAAGGGGTTACAGACAGGGTCTTATTATTATTATGGCAAATAAGGCTCAATAGTGGGGTTAGTAAGGTGGCAGTTCAAAAGTATTTACAACTGGATACCGCAAATGTGTTTACTGGAGTGTGACCAACTGATAGGTCTGTTTATCAGGCAAAGCCCACTGAGGTATCTGAAAAATACCTCAGTGGGCTTTGCCTGGTAAGATGGGTATGGATTAGTGTTGTATTTGTTTGTGTTTGGGTGATTTTTCTTGTACTTTGCACTACTGTCGTGTTGTTGTATTGTTTGTTGTTGTAACGTTCTTACCCACCTCTACTGGACATCTGTGAAAAAGAGCTTTATATCTCATCGTATTCCTTCAGTAAAAAAAAATTCTGATTTTGCAGTGCCGAGACTGTGAGAATTGCGGTATTGAGGTTGGTTTTAATTGTGCATTGAAAAAAATAACATAAATGTGTTTATTTCGAAGGATGTAAAAAATGTCACGAGTAATCTAAACGTGGTTACGGATCACAGCAGGGTACACACACACAAACATATTTAGAGAAAGGCAAGTTGAATTCTTTGTGACCTGAAATGAGAAAACAGGAGGCATCATACAATGTTTTGTCTCGGAAAATTAGAAGCACAAGAATACGGGGAAGGGAGTTAATTATCTACTTAAGATATTTAAACAATTTGATGCCACTGGGAGGAGTATCCAATGCAAATCTTTTGAGTAAATATCACGGACAGACCTAAATGGAAAGAAGTCGATGATCGCCAATGTTTTCGAGAAAGGACACGGCGCATAGAGAGAGAATAACAAGATAACTGGATAATTGTTTTTGCTATCATATATATTGTAAAGTCTGTTATTGATAGACAGGTTTCTTTGAGCTTTTGTTTCGTGGTCTAGGGTTATTGGGATTATTCATAGGTTTATTTCACTATGAAATCACAGGCTAGAAAACACATCAAAGCAGTGGTTCTTCTTAACCTGGGGTGCATGCACCCACCTGGGGTGTGAGATGCCCTTTCTGGGGGTGCGAGACACGGCCAATTTATTTTAGAAGGTAAATCATCGAAACTAAAATTGAGCACGGGCACGTAAGTACAACTACTATGTTTCATCAAAACCTGCGTATTTATTGACGTAATATATATTGTTTACGATTGAGAACCAAAGGAGTGCAAGGCTGCATTAAAGGTTAAGAACCACTGCATTAATATATCTAAGGCGGTTATTGAAGGCAGACCACAATCAAATTGTTTAACTTACGAGAGGCACCAGGGCGCGGTGGCTTACTTGGAAAAACTGACCATGATAACAAAAAGCAATGTAACTCACATGCCAACAGGAGACAGATTTAAATCAGATAGATTTGACCTAGGATACGTATGGGTCAGATACATGGAAAATATTTAGCAATTGTGTTGCTAGCTCCAGCAACTATTTGGGTGTGCTAAGTGACAATATGTCCACAAAGCGACGAAGCGACAAATATAACAACCGTCTGAGATGAGGACATAATACAGATTGAGCAGCGATTATTGGTATGTATTCTATTGTTGTGTATGATGGCAATGTGGTTCAGGAGCTCAATGCCAATGTCCCAGGTCTGATAGTCACGAGAGGGCTTCAGAAGAGAGTTCGTGTGCATCAGTTTGCCGAATATCATCCCTTTCTGAATTTTCTCGTGATATTTTTGACATTGGAAAGAAAGGTCTCTCTCTCGAGCAACATACGGTGACTTTTTGAGGCTGTTTTGGCGACTTGGCCGCTTGAAGGCGTTGGCGGCCGTGCCCACTCTGATGTTGTTCCCAGGCCCCGCACGTCACGGACGAGGTCCTCACCAGGGCCTACCGGGTGTGCGTAGGATTCATCACGAGGCCGCGGCACGTGGCCGCCTTCACCAAGTCTGTGCTGCAGTTCATCAGCACCGAACGCCGGGCTCCAGGTCGGTTAACGACGCATCTCAAACCCGGCCGTTCGTGCGCGCCGCGGAAGAACGTGCGACAACGGGTGCGCTTTATGCCCGCGTGTGTCTCGGGGTTATCCGTTTCCAGGTTGAATAGAATAGAAGCCAATTTGGCAGAAGTTTTGAAAAAGATGTTCTTAATTCACTTTTTCGGTGCGGGCTACGTTCCAACGGTAGAGATGTGGTCCAGCGACATAAGCCGTGCGCGTCCTTATTTACAGAGCTAATTGTTGAGATTTTACAGGGTTGGCTGAACTGTTCTTAAATTTTGGTATGAAATACTTATATTATTATTTGACCAGGTAAGGCCCTCTGAGGTAAACATCTTTTTTTCAGAAGTGACCTGGCCGCAAATGATATCTCAATGAAATGGCTCATCACGTGGAAATGGATATCAGCCAAACACTCTAAATACACATTGATTCTAAATATGGGGAGAAAAACCGGACGACCCGGAGAAAAATCCACGCGACCAGAAAAACATAGATCCTCCGTGTAGCCTTAACAGACTGTAGGGGCAAGTTCTGTTAGCGAGTAGCACCTATGAAGGCCGGCACGGCACACGAGGGGGTGGGTGGCCAGCACCATGCCCGGACGCCTTTGTCTCCCCCAGTGGAGATGTTTACACACCGCAACTAGGTACTAATTTGAGGCTGAGTCGACCTAAGGAAGGCCCAGGACCGGTTCAGATAATCGTCACCGGTGTTGGCCGCGAGCGGGAATAGAACTCGAGTCGCCGGGTTCGTAGCGCAGCGTGGAGCTAACCGCTACACTACCGCTCCCCGGGGAGAGAGAGACACGCAAACACCAAATACGTATACAGCAGGCATCAGGGTCGGGATCGAACCAACGACCTCTTACTTTATTTTTCAAGTAAGTAGTATATATTGGCTGTCGGGTGGTGGCGTGTTTAACGACACATTTACATTCACGAGATCTAATCCAAAAACCTCTACCATGGATAATATTGGTCGCGAAAGCCTAGGTGTTAAACTGAAGTGTATATTATTACAATTTACTTAAAACCTACCGTGTAACACTTTTGTTAACGTAGCACAGATTGTGTTCAATCAAACAAGCAGAGAGACGCTGTAGCTGGTTGTTTGGACAACCGGAGGCGGCGCGAGAGGGATAAAGACTCCTGCAACCGTTTTGGCTGACATGGCACAACGTTTACCACACGGCAGGAGCAATAATGACGAACAAAAGTCATTTCGTTACAACGAGAAAAGCAAAGAGTCAGAAGTGCAAACGTATATTCTTGACGTCTTGGACAAAGCTGCCTGCATCCTCCACGTAACATAATGATACCGTAATAATAGGGGTTTTCCCCTTTTAATGATAATGATACCGTTTATTTCTACTTAAGCTCACCGAGTGATGTGTGAAGTACCTCATGTGCTGCCTCTAAGCATTGAGTCTTCCAGTTAGCCTTCCCTTCCTACCCACCTCCACACTCAAACTTATAAATGAGCGAGCTCTCACGGTTTCATGAGAGGAACTTGCAGGCCCAAGGGGCTCAGCGCAATGTAGGCCTAATGATTAATTTCAATTATAGCCATCTAATGTCACTGCACCAATTCAAGAATCCATTATTTTCTTCTTTTTTCTCTCAACATTGTGGGTTAAAGTAGCGACCTCTCGTGATTGTAAAGGTTACATAAACCCATGTTGTACAACTTCCACGAATTGGGGAAACAAAAACATTGATTCTTACACGTACTTTGACGCGTATATTGTGAGATGAGAATGGACATCAGTTGCACCTTTAATTAATATCTCACTCTATCGTACAAGATACTGGTTTTATAAGCAACGTAACTCACGTGCCAACAGGAGACAGATTTAAATCAGATAGATTTGACCTAGGATACGTATGGGTCAGATACATGGAAAATATTTTGCAATTCTGTTGCTAGCTCCAGTGACTATTTGGGTGTCCTAAGTGACAATATGTCCACAAAGCAACGAAGCGACAAATATAGCACCCGTCTGAGATGAAGAAATAATGCAGATTGAGCAGCGATTATTGGTGTGTATTCTATTGTTGTGTATGATGGCAATGTGGTTCAGGAGCTCAATGCCAATGTCCAGGTCTGATAGTCACAAATGTTTTTACAAAACCGGCTGGATGTTATTCTTGCTATTTAGAACTCAACAGCATGGGTGTTGTATTTCACCTCTTAGCCATCGCCCATTCTTTTCCTTTTCGCTCCCCTTGCCTTTCCACTACTTCCCGTCCCTCCCTTACCCTTTCATGATCCCTAAGTTACCCCTCTATCAAGGTCGTTCATTTCTCAATACCTTCTACGCCCCTGCAATAGAAATAATTATATTGTCACCGTTCTTTTAACTGTATTAAGTACCGTAAGTGAAGGCGCTCTGTAAATATTATATTAGATTTAGAACATTAAATTCAATGCACACCCACACTGAACGTATAATAAGCTTGTTTGCTTTCTATCTTTGCTTCTTGAAAAAAAATATTCAACTACACAAGTAAATACGTGACCATCCTGTTCAAACTCTCTCTATGGACAAGTTGCCCCTATTTATCCGGCGATTTGAGATGCAACTACATTCCAAAATGTATCTTGAAACAGGCAGAACAGTGGAATTAATTCTGACATCATTATTACGTGTGATGCCTTACGGAATTGCTCGAAGAATTTGGAGTTATTGATTCAGTACAATGGCATATCCCGCACAAATTGGTTATAGGTAGAGGAAACAAGGAAGACCTTGAGCCTGTGATTGCGACAGAGCAGGGAGTCGATGGCATGAGATGCAAGGGGCAACGTGAGGGAATGAGTAACCTCCCCTCATACTGAGCAAAGGTTGATTGAGGGCTTCGACAGAGCTTCAACTATTTTTTTTATTTTACTAGGTAAGGCACGATGAACTTTGTCGCTCTTTTCCAGAAGTGACCTGGCCACAAATGATCGCTCAGCAAAGTGACTTACCGCGTTGAAATTTACATGAGCCAACTTCTCTAAAAGCGTGTTTCTAAATGTGGAGGAAAAAACCCGAGTACCCGGGGGAAAATACACACGACCACGGGGAGAGAGACATGCAAAGTCCAAATATACAGGTGCCATGTTTCTGGTTTGAACCCACGACCTCCTGCATACCAGGCAAGGAAGTTAATGTCTCACCACCATGGCGAGAGAAAACGCCTGAGCTGATGGAGTGGAGAGTGCGTGGAGGGGAGTAGAGCGAGATGAGAATGGAGAGGTAGGAGAGTGCGTGGAGGGGAGTAGAGCGATATGCGATTGGAGCGGCAGGAGAATGCAGAGGTACAGTAAGTCAAACGTGGAACGTTGCGCCGTTGGGAGGTGCATCGACTCTGAGAAAAAGCCTTTTCGCACAAACGCTTCTGTCCCGACACAACAGTTGTGCATGAGTGGTTCAGTGCATTGAGCGAGCCCTATTGGATTCTTGGGGTTCAAATCTAGGCAGGCATCCACGACTCGATCTGGTTTGAGAGACAGCAAGTTTTCTGAGCTCAGACATCAACGATCATATAAATATGCATTGCGCTTTGTTTTTCAGTGAACTCACCATTTTCTACCTCTGAGGACGAAAACTCAAGATGTTACCATTACATTATCAGCACTCCCTGATCGTAGTGTGTGTGCCATCCATAACATCCTTATTGGCAAATCTGCACTATACTTAGCTAATTCATTATCCCCATTGTCAAACCCAAGAAACCTAAGGCGTCCATCTAATTGCCTTTTAAATATCTCAGGAATCGGAGTAGGTAACAAAGTCTTTTGCCGTTGCAGCACCAACTTTCGGAGCAACCTTGTTTCCTCCCTTAACATCATAAAATCTTCCTTCAGCAATTATCCTAAAGCAGAATATGGATTCGTGCTTGATACAGTTACATTTGCCAACGTGATTCGTAACTTTGATCATTACCAGTGTATCGATAGTCAGTCTTCATGTGGCATTTATTGAGGGACTATTCTCTTCTGTTTTGGATTTATAAAGCGCCTTTCGCCCAAGGCGCTTGACAATGCTTGCCGACTACGGTACAGAATGGCAAGCTAAGGGAAGGACGGCTGGGGTAGTAGGGCCGTTAGTTATCGGGTTTGGAAAAGGAATAAGATATGGGCAGCAGGGGAAGGAGGCGATGGTGCAGGGGGTTGAAGGAGGAATGGAGCGTGATAGTGGATGAGGCTGATAGAAGGGGGTAGAGTGAGGTGGATGGTACGGTATGAAGTGAGTGGCGTTATCTTGGTGTGGTCTGGGACTGTTTTGTCGTTTTTACTGTCTTGCCCAATCTTGATGAATCAGACTTAGAGAATCAATGTATGTATTATGTATTTATATTCCGTCACTTGCTTGTCATTTTATATGTTTTGCACTCCTATCATTTTTTTATTTGCTGTTGTAACTTGCTGGACATCTGTGAAGAAGAGCTTCATAGCTTATCAGATTCCTACTGCAGTCTAAATCAAGATTCTGATTTGGTTGAAAGTACTTTTTAAGTCACTTCAGAGGTTAGAGTTCTGTCTTCCACGGACCATTCCCTGACTCAGCACGATGCACTCTTCAAGGCTGAACGCACAGTTCTTCACAATTAAATAAAGAACGCTCGATGCTGCATTGGCAGTGGTTGCACGAGCACACAAAGACAAAGATCCCCCGTGTAGCCTGAACAGACTGTTGGGGCAAGGGCTGTTAGCGAGCACCTGTGAAGGCCGGAACGGTACACGAGGGAGTATGTGGCCAGCACCACGCCCGACCGCCTTTGTCTCCCTAGTGGCGATGGTTACACACCGCACCATGTACTCATGTGAGGCTAAGTCAACCTAGGGGATGCCCAGAACCGGTTCAGATAATCGTCACCGGCGTCGGCCGTGAGCGGCAATCGAACCCGGGTTGCCAGGTTTGTAGCGCAGCGTAGCGCTAACCGCTCCCCCACCGCTCCCCACGAGCAACAACAACAACAACAAGCGCCATTCGCCACTAAGTGGCGGTGACGTCACCACGACGCTTGTGCCAGGCCATGTGCACCTTGAGGCCACGGGAAGTGTCGAACGCCCGCTGGCAGGAGGTCACGGGGCAGACCCAGGTGGTGCCACGGGTCGACTGACTGAGATGACTGAGATGACTGGCTGATGCACCACCTGTGCCAACTTGCTGTGCTTTAGTCCAAATATACACACACACAACATAAAAACTCAACACATTCATCCGTAATAACGCTGCCGTGCTGTGAAGGAGGGCCATTTCCCGAAATGTTACCTTGTATAGATGTAGAGTATTTCCCCTTGAGGACAACGGTGCTGCTCAGATTTAGTTTAACATGAAGCTGGTTCGCAAACTTACCGAACACATTGTGTTTTATTTAAACTATAGTCTTTAGGAACCATATAAATTATAGCAGTGTTCAGGAGCGTGTCGAAAACTGAGCATTTGTTCGAATAGCATTTTGCACGTTTGCAAAGTCACTTACAGCATAAGTAGCAAGGGCATGAGATCCAGTGCTTTTCTCAGGAACTAATTATTTTGCAATCATTGATGAAAAAAAAACAATTAAGGGGGGGGGGGTCTTGTGTCGCACGCAGCCCTCAAACTCCCCCCCCCCGTTCCTTCTCCCCCTCCGCTTTGAACTGAAATAGCTTGGGTGTAGCAACCAGGCGCGGTAATGGTCCAGCAGTAGCTTCTAGTGCAGCAGTGTGAGAGTGCGAACCGCCGGTGTGAAAATCAAAGCATCCTTCCTTGCAAACACTGTTCTCATTTTTTCGGTCACGTTCAAAATGTGAGCCATCACACCTGTACACGGTGGCTTGCACCGCACCCCCAGGGACGTGCTGCAAAGGATGCAATGTGAACGTGAATTAGTTTAGAATTTGTTTATTCTTGAAAATTAACGCATTGGATCCGTATTGTCTAAACGACACCAGTGAGAGAGGATCCTTTTTTTTATAATTCCCCCCATGGTGGCTTCTAGATTTTGGAACTTTTCAACCAATATAAATGTACTCATTTTGGAAATACGATATCCAACATGATGCACGGGTTGTATTTCAATTAAAAATTCATTCGCTCATTTTTTTAAATATTCAGCCGGGTGATTTGGTTGTGCATTCATGAGCGGCGGTTCAAACGATTCACCTGCGTGTGCAACCCAGGAGATCATCTCATTCAAGTTCACAGCGGTTCTAGTTAAAACGCCGGGCTGCATTGAAATCTCACATCAAGACGAAGGGGCTGAATCTGAGAGCGCTCCCCTGTTCCTTTGCAGGTATTTTCCACCAGAGGATGATCATTTCGGAGCAAAACCTTCACATAAGCAGCTTTCCGACTGTGGCCAAGTAAGTAGAGCACGACGATCTGCATGCATTGCTGAAGGGTGTAGCATACTTATTTGCGATATACAAAATATGTATATAAAATATATGTAGCTACGTGATATCACCAGCCAAGGCATTCCACATGGCTTGGCGCCACGGTGGCGAGATGTTAACTTCCTCGTCTGCTATACAGGAGGTCGTGGGTTCGATCCCAAGTTTAACGCCTGCTGTATATTTGGAGTTTGCATGTCCTCCCCCATGGTCGCATGGATTTTTTTCCAGGTCCTACAGTTTTTCTCTCCACATTTACAGCCGACATACGTTCAGAGTATTTGGCTAATATAAATTTCCACATAAGCCACTTCATTGAGCTATCATTTATGGCCATGTCGCTTTTGAAAACGAGATGTACAGGTCAGTGGGCCTTACCTGGTATAATAAAAAATCAATTGCTGTGTTCACATGCATGCTGCTCTCATCACAAGCACTGTTCTGTGGGGTTCTCTGTGAGTATGAACACGCTGTGGCCTCTGATGTGCGGAGCAATTATTAAAGTGTGGCCAATGGTTCTGATTGCAATTAGACTGAGATGTTCGGGAAACTTTAACTCAAATCAGAATTTCTACGCGGCAGAATCCTACGTGAAAATATTACCAGGAGGTACGTATTGTTATTTCAGTTGTGATAAATAAATATCAGCGCACAGTACTTTCCGTAGGCTGAGATAGTGCATCACGATTTGGCTTTAAATTTCAGATCAGTGTAACTTGTTCTGTTCATCTTCTCAAAATAATCGTATCGCCCCTGATACATTAATAGGCGTTAATCATCGGCTTCAGATATTGTAAGACACGAACCATATTATATATCCACCAACAGTGCCTATTGGTTTGAATGACATTATCTCTCAATGAAAGGAAGGAGCTGGTCCAGTGGTTACCGTGCTGCTGAATGATCCCGAGGACCTAAATTCAACACCCGGCCGTAGCCAACCATCACCGTTGCGTGATATATATATACCATTTGCTGGGCCCTCTTCACCAACCCACACTGACCAAAATGGCGAAGTATGGTTAAACAACCCCCCATCCCTAAGACTGACATGACATAGGGAAGCCCTTCATAGATTATAAGGGCTGTAATTGATTATGATTATTATTCGAATCAATATCGCAAACATCTTTACTTTTGCATACAGTATTTTTTTTACTGAATATTGACAGACACCACTTACCATTGCAACATTATACAGGCAACTATATATATTTTTTTGTTATACCATGCTGCTATTTAAATTGATAATTATGGAATCCTTCATGAATTCCAATGCAGTAGTCTGATCGAGGGGTGTGTACACATGCACACGCACACTCAATGCAGCTGCACCTATCGCATTGCGGCAATGCGCATGGCACACAGCAATTCGTGAGCCCCGTTTGGGTGAAACTGTTTTGTGTGTCTTTTTCAATTCAGGCGCAGTGGAGATGTGTTTGCAAACAGCGCCGCGCAACTAATATCACTTCTGATCGTCGTTCTTTAGATTCCTTGATTCCTTAACACCCTAACACCTTGACTTAAAGCTTTCGTGACTGCAGGAATCCATATTTTGGGGGTCTTTCGGTAAATTCACGTAGATAGGTTCAAAGAAAATCAGAAAAAAACTTCTACGTGTAGATCGCAACACACGATTGCAAAACAAGCGGTCGTCTTTGCTGAAGACGACCGCTTGTGTTGCGGTCGAAACGTCGTAGTTTTTTGTATTTTCTTTGAACCTGTCTACGCGACTTTACCGAAAGACCCAAAGAACACCCTAACACCTCTTTTATAGCCAGAAAGGGTAAAACCTATTCTTATATTTTGATACTGGCAAGGGAGGTCTCATGATATAGCATCTCACCCTGAGCTCTCAATATCCTGAGAGTGGCATTGTCTTTGTGCTGTTCGCCTTTTGGCGTCCTCTGGTCTCACACTGTTTGAGACCGGGCTCTAAAGAAAGCTGTCTCTGGCGAGGACCAATCAGTTTAAAAGACAATGCATTTTACTACCAGAGCATATTTTTGTTTGCATGTTCGCCACAAGTATGGTTAATGCAGACGTGATTCCTTGCAAAAGGTTTCAGTTTGGTGTTTTAACATCTTAACACAGCTGTTTATTGCCAGAAATGGTAAAACTTATTCTTATATTTTGATACTGGCAAAGGAGGCCCCATGATGCTTTGTTACTCCACTGCTGGATGAGGGTCTCTCCCACCTGATGTCCGTCTTTGGTTTTTTTTTACTCTACTTCACCGTGCTGGTCAGTGTGTGTTGGTGAAGAGGGGAGCTCGATACAAGTTCAAATATCAATCTCTACTAATATGTTAGTAACGGCTGAGAAGCAAACTCAAGTCACCTGGTTCGTAGAGCCAGTGATTTAATTCACTTTTGTCGTTATATTTATAGTGTGTTCACTTTTTTGAGGGCCTTTTCGTTATTCAGTCGCAGTTATCAGTCGGATCTGTCCATTGGCAGTTGTGTCATGAAGGATGTGGTACAAGTAGCCAAAGTCATGATATATGTACTGTATTTTGATTTAAAGCTTTCGTGACTGCAGGGATTCATATTCTTGGTTCTTTCGGTAAAGTCACGTAGAAGGGAAACAATAAGCCATCTGGCTACCATGAGAGATTCGTTCATGAGGCTATCCACATATACAAACACAGAGACAATTTCAACCGAGAAGATGGATTCTGGCTTAGCAATCATTGGAAGGATTTGATAAACCATTTCGGGTCTTAATTGATTGTTCACGCTTACGGTGGCTTTCAGACCGCATCCATTATTTTTGTCTCCCCCCTCCTCTTTTCCGAACATAGATGGACTCGTCCATCTGAATAACTGCCAAATCGCTCTCCGTGGTGCTAACATTAAAAAACGCCACTTTTTTCAAATTTTCTTCCTATGGTTTTCACACCTGATGCAGTCGAAACGTCGTGAGAATTTTATTATTTTATATTTTTTATTATTTTATTGCTTCCCTTCTACGTGACTTTACCGAAAGAACCAATAATATATATGTACTGTATGTTGAACTTTTTTTACCCAACGTAGCCAACCGTGCGTTGACTATCTCCTGGTAATACGAGGACAAAGTTGAGGGCACTCTCTTGTTCAGATTTGTCTGATCAATTGCAGTGTGGGCATCCTCGGGGACATTTCAGAAACTGCGAACACTTGAGGGCCGCACTCCATGAATAAGACCAGGCAATGGTTGTGTTTTCACACTCCAGGGCTCAAGACTCACAGTGCCAAATCTGTAAATTGATAAAGCAGCTAAGAAGAGTACCACCGCCACATATTAACCACCCACGCCCAGCATGGTGTTTGCGCAGATGCAACTGTCATTTCCTATCGGTATTCACAAATCTAACATTTTCACCTGCAGCACTGTCTTCGTAATCTCGCGTTAAATTTGCTTACCTCTCACGCATGGTACACAAACTCGTTGGTTTTATTGCTTTGAGCGGGGGTCACGTAGTTTGTGTTGCGTGCTCTTGCAAAATAGCGTCCAGTAATCCAGCAGCATTTGTTTAAAAATCCTGATTCTGTTGATGACAGTCCGGAGTTTGATATTTGCCTGGAAAGCCAATAGGCTGATGGATTATTTATGACTATTCATCATATTCTTCTGTTGAGATACAAAACATAGTTTTAATTATATTGGCTCTAAATTACAGTAAAGCAAACTGACACCTTCAAAGGAGTCTAGCCCCGCACCTCCGATCAGCACGGTCGGCTACATACGGTGAGAAAGAAAGTTGAACAGACACACACGTATATACATTTGTACAACTATCGTTTTTTGACAGACGTTCACGTGTCTTGACTTTTTCACGTATTCGCCGACCCCTTGGTCCCCAAGCGAGTCGGATGTACAATGACGACGTCGTGATGTAACACCGTTGTTATCGACCCTCGGTTGAATCTACTTTCCCCCAGGACCAGGACCGTGGTTCTGCTGGTGCCGGGCTTAGTGTCGGAGAATCTGGTGGGTCGACTGATGGAGGAGGAGGAGAAAGGACATTCCATGGACGAGGCCAGCTTGAAGCAAGCGTGGCACTGCCAGATCCTCAAGCACACCTTCCAGGCAGTACTGGGCCCCACTATCAATGCCAGGGATCTACACAAACACCTGAGTGTTCGTATTACATGTTCATCTCACCGTAGCCTGGGCAGGCAACAACGCAAATTATATTTAACAGTCTGCCTACTACCTTGGGCAGGTACAGATAGATTCACGATTGGCTCATTTGGGTTCGATTGTGTAGGTAGAATGTCAAATTTTAACTATTCCCTCCACCACCCAACAGAGTCAATCAAATTAAGCTACTATTTTAATTTTAAGGCTCACTGAGCTATTTTAGCTCTTTTTCAGAAACGACCTGGCCACAAATGACAGCTGGAAATATATATATCAGCCAAATCCTCTCAACGCATGTTGATTCTAAATGTGGAGGCAAAAATCGGGGGACCTGGAGAAAAATCCACGCGACCACGGGGAGAGAGAGAGAGACAAGCAAACTCCAAGTATGCAGCAGGCGTCAGCTTGACAAGTTGTCACGTGGACAAATGTGCCAAATTTCAGTAACTGGAATATAGCTGGGGATGCTGCTCCAGGGGGAGTACATCGCTGTGTCTGCTCGTTGTGCAGAACCAAGAGAGGAAGGTTCGGGGTTGGCTGGAGCACGTGGCGGGGCTCATGGAGAGCACGGCACGGAGAGGCGCCCGGGAGTCGCTCCATGACCTCAAGTCTCAGCTGCTCGCTCTCTACCTGCAAGAGATAAAACCTGCGAAGGCAGATGGAAGTAGGCTTTGCGCGGCAGGTAACGACGACACGCCGAATCGTCGATCGAACCAGGCTGTTATGCTCACGACGCATGCCAGGCATCGAACCGTGTGCGTGAGACTCAGTCACTTGAAGAGTTTGCATCACCGTGCACATGCAAATGATGTGCGAATGTCCCAGGCTAATGGAAGGAACAAAACTATGCTAATGAGGCTTAATGATGCAAAACGGCGCAAAAAACAAGATTCCACACTGTGTGGATTCTAATTTGTTGAAGTGTCACATTTTTACCGTCTTATTTTGTATCGTTTTGCATTGTTAAGCCTCGTTTTCATAGTTTTTACCGTCTTTTTATAATTGTTGGTGGAGGTGAGTTTCATTCCACTTCTACAGTGCCAAGGTTACAGCCACAATAGAGGCCATTGAGAAATCCCGCGCATTGCTCTAGACGTTACTTTACGAATAGACACTCTACAAATGGACACCATTAATATATCATTAATTGACGAACATAATGCACAGTATATTCTAAAATTATGAAGCACATTCTTTCATCGATCCACTCCTGGATGTAATGCCTCGCCACACCACCTTGGTCATGCGCGATGTTTGGCTATACTTCACCATGATGGTCAATGAAAGGATGGGAGGGGGGCCCAGGACCGGTTCAGATATCGCTCACCACTGATGTTAGCCATGGCCAGGATTGGAAATCGGTGCACTACTGTGTCACCATTCGCCCCATGTATTTATACAATGCATTATGAAAAAAATATTACATGTCGTCAAATTATTTATGTTACATGTGTAATGACGTCTACCGCCTTGCGATTCAAGGAATTGTTACAATTAGGGGTCCTGGTTCTGAATTAAGAATCTGGCTCCTCTCATGGCTGTTGGGGTCAGCTCAACCCATTACATACAACATATATACGCAATGCAATAAATGCACTAGCAGAGCCACAATATGATGCGCGTATCGTGAGCATAAATGTCGATTTTAATAAATTGATGCATCGATACACGCCTTATGTGCACCATTCGGATTGTTCACTTCCGATAGCCGAGCAGTGAGCCTGTCTCTGAGCCAGCTTGCATGAGGTCACATCTGAAAACCACCTGCTAATTTTTGACAGGCATTCGTAAAACGTGCCCATCCTTTGCAAGCCACCGTGATGTCACCCGCAACACGTAAGCATAATTTCATGCCACTTGTCATTAGTTCCAGGACTGCAATTTGCTGCTAACTGTCAATTTACGATGGAAACTTGCCAAATTTGAAAACAATTACCCGCAAATTACCGTACTCAATTTTGGATTGTACATACCAATCATTGCCCCCGCCCCCGCTCCACTGTCAAAACTTGGTAGAATCCTCCTGTAAGAGACTCGGTGAGGCTTTCATGGGGTAAACAAGCGTAATAACATAGCAATCATAATATAACAACTGCGGCCAGCTCTAATCAAATCTCCTTTGGACGAGGGGTCGATGCATCTCAATGGGTTCATTTTTGTGGACTTATTTATTTAATTGAAAGAAAGCCTCGACTATGTTATTTCTTTGTGTATAGACACACACTCAGAAGGGGAAATTGGCCAAACATCCTGAGCAAAATCTCAAGACAGCAGTGAGGCTTTCCTTGGTAAATAAAAGATGTATCATGAGAGGTGTTCCTGTGTATACACGTCCAGCCGTTTGTCATTAAACTACCCATTGATGCATCGTATGGATCACATGGTTTGTTTGATCAAACATCACTACGCAAATAATAATAAGTGCGAGTTGATTAAGGTGGGGTGCATAGTATACGGGAGACTAGAAATGTTGTTGCTTAGCCCTCCGCCATCTACAGATTATCCCCAGAGCCTATGATTAGGTTTGTAATCTGGGATGATTGGAACGTAAGCATAAACAACGTAATTTATAACCAATTGTTTAAACGGATTCGTGGACACGTCTATGTGTGTCAGTGACCTTGGTCTCGTGTGCACTTTCTATCCTTGGTTCGACCCATTGTCAGTGTCCATGAGAGTACAGAGTAACCCCTTGACTGTGTTTGGCGACTGCTAATTGCACTCCCTCTGCCCAACAGACTCGATGGCGGATTGTAAACTCCTCCTTGGCGCCGTGCCCAAGCCTGACATCCATTACAAGGCCTGGTGTGGAAATAACTCACTCGGTAAGTCGCCCGGCTCGATATTCAGCAGAAACTGAAGTTTCATACCAAGTGTCCACCTCATGCCATAAATCGGACCAATTTAGGTGACACCTTCCCGGTGAGATGTATGTTTAAAATCATATGTAACTTTTTAAAAACACAGATGCTGACCACAGGCCCAAAACACAAAGCAGCCAGCCACAAACAGCACGATCAAAGTCGTAATAGATAAAGAGTTAACCACGTTTCTTCAATTGAGCAAGGTTATTATGAGGACTTGGGGAAAGAGACGTTGATGAGAGGAGGGAATTCCAAAGTGGAGCAGTGCGAGGGAAGAACAAGAAAAATAAGTGAGGTGACCTGCGGTGTGGTGAGTGAGTGGATGAGTGTGTTTTTGTGACCTGGAGTATAGCGATTCAAACACAGTATGGACAAGACAAGAAAGTCAGTTTGATAGACCAAGTTCGCACGAATAGGGGGAGATTAGTATCTCCCAGGAACTTTTTGCGTGATGAAAAACAATCCTCTAGGCCAGGGGTGGGGAACGTCCGGCCCGCGTGCCGTGTAAGGCCCCACGGAATAATTTGGTTTCTGGCCCTGCCAAGGCAACCGCAGGCGGGACTCGAAATTCAATAAATCTAGGAGCAAATTTGGAAAAGCAGTTGCGAGTAGCAACATCGTCAACAATACCAGCTAACGTCATCACACGCCTCACCAAAGAGAAGCGGTTCCAGCCATCACAATAGGGGTGAGTTAATTAAATGTTTGACCAAATATAACAGGATAACTTTTAAGGTGATAATTTTGTATGGCCCGCGAATGATGTTATAAATATCCAAATGGCCCTTGGCAGAAAAAAGGTTCCTCACCCCTGCTCAATCCAAAGAAAACTTTTGAAAACCACAGCGACAAAGATTTAATTGCTCATTAGGATAACTGACTGATGGCACGTTTTTTTCTTTCCTTTTTTCACCGCTCATTTTCATGCAGAGAACATGTTGGGCGACATCAGCTCCTCGGACACAGACCCGTCCACTCCGTGGAAGCAGTCCGTGGTGCCGCCGAAGACACGGATGGTCAAAAACCAAAAATACTCGATCCAGAGGAAAAATGGAATTCGCGACCGATCTCGCAGTGCGATCAACACGACCTGCGAGTCCGCCAGCTACCCCAACACTGGCACCAGGGTGGGTAGGCGCGCCACAAGCCCATGTGCACATGCGTGTGCATGTGTGTGTGTAGTGGGGAGCGATAGTGTAGCGGTTAGCGCGCTGTACTATGAACCTGGCGACCCGGGTTCGATTCGCGCTCACGGCCAACACCAGTGACGATTATCTGAACCGGTCCCGGGCCTCCCCTAGGTCGACTCAGCCTCAAATGAGTACCTGGTGCGGTGTGTAAACATCGCCACTAGGGAGACAAAGGCGGTCGGGCGTGGTGCTGGCCACCCACCCCCTCGTGTACCGTTCCAGCCTTCATAGGTGCACGCTAACAGCACTTGCCCCTACAGTCTGTGCAGGCTATATGGGGGATCTTTGTTCTTTGTTTTGTAGTGGGGAGCAGTAGTGTCGTGGTTAATGCCCTGCGCTACGAACCCGGCGACCCGAGTTCGATTCCCGCTCACGGCCAAAACCAGTGACGATTACTGAACCGATCCTAGGCATCCCCCTCGGTCGACTCAGCCTCAATTGAGTGCCTGGTGCGGTGTATAAACATCGCAACTAAGGAGGCAAAGGCGGCCAGTCCTGTTGTTGGCCAAGGTGCTCGCCAATTGCACTTGCCCAAACAATCTGTTTAGACTATTCGAGGGATCTTTGTCTTATACATAGTGGGGAGCAGTGGCGCAGTGATTCGCGCGCTGCGCTTCGTATCCGGCAAAACCGAGTTTGATTCCCAGCCACGGCTGACATCAGTCGTAATTATCTGAACTGGTTCTGGGGCCTCCCACTTTTATCAACTCGTATTTACCATTGTGGTAAAGTGTGGTCAAACAACCCCAACTGGCGACCCGACGTAGGGGAGGCCTTCATTCAGCTGTCGAATGACAGAGGGCAGTTAATCAATCAGAGGTGTCAGTACACTTGCTCGCAGCATCAATGACAAGCCGAAACGTTGAAGTGTGCAGCCCTTGGTGTGTGCCTCCGAGTCACTGTTAAAGCATGTGTGGCATGGCTAATGGTGTGTATTTGTGGAAGATGTCCCCAGGTGACAATCATTTCCATAGCGGCGGCAATCGGTAATGGGCGTCACGGGATTATTCGATTCCTCCGAGCCAGAGCTGTCACCGTGATTATTTAAATTTATTTTGGTAAAGCCGACAGCGGCACCTTAACTGGTTCATTAAGGCAAACCGATACGTGTTTTAAAGTTTGAGAATATTTCTAATGAAAATAACAGCGGCATGTAACTGTGTCCGCCGTTTACCGCAGTGTTTTTAATTTTTTTTGGGGAGCATATTCCAGAAACAGTTTGACAGCCGCACAGCAATTTGTGAAGAAGGCCGCGACAATGTTTGCAGTAATTGGATTGAAAGCTTTGATGGCAATATCTCCGGTGGTGTGATTACTGGTGGGGGGGGGGGGAAGCTCAGTGTGTGTTTTCACACACAACACCGAGGAAAGTTTGACCTCACGTTTCGGAATTGCCGAAACTAAGGTGAAAGCCATTAAAAATGAGACTGGTCACCGTTCAGCCTTCAGCCCCAAACCTGAACCGGACGATGAATTGTCGCAATTTTTGCGCCCCAATTTGATCGAGGAATGGATTTTTTTTTTGCCTCGTTCCATCAAATCATAATTTGCACTGTACAGTGCACGTTTTTCACGAGCGCAGCGATTGATTTTAACCACCCAATCATTTCGTGCCGAACGCACGCGCCCCTCGCACGGACGCGCGCTACGTGTGTTGCTCCTCTCGTGTAGAACACGTTGGCCTAAGTTACGCAAATTTCGGCGTGGAATTTCGATTAAACTGGCTCGAAAGAGCGTTTTTTGCTGTCGAACCTCTGCACACCACCGCCACGTAAAATAGCATTTTCTTTCTTCTGCCGACAAATAGCCACTTGACAAAACTGTCGAACGCATGTGGCCTCACTTTACAATCGATCACAGAGACTTTATTTTTGTGGATGCGTAACAAGTCGTGGTCACGATGGCCGACAAGCAACACCGCTCGTGAGTTGCAAACCCAAACTCTTTTCCGAAGCGTCACAAATCAATGTTAAAATGGCGAAATGTTTACAGGCCTTGGTCAGTCCACAGCTGGATGAAGGCCTCCCCATGCCATGTCAGTCATGGCTGTGTTACTTGACCATACCTCACCACGCCGATCAGCACGGGCTTTAGGTTGGGGGACTAGTTCAGAAATCACTCATCGCTGCCGTTCACCATGGTCGGGAGTGAAGCTCTCTGCCACCGCTACAAGGACAGAGAAAATTTTTACTTAAAAATTTAGTTGAAATAAAATTATTCACATTACTTGTGCAGTTGCTACGTGAGTTATCATATTTCATCACAAGATTGGGAGACATGGCGATGGCTTGCGGAAGGCCTCATTCAGCAGTGGATTGATCATGGCTGATGATGCTGAATGCTGATTTGAGCGTAGAAACAATTTGAATTTTTCTGAGTTTGGACAACTTTTTCACCTTTATATGCTTCTACCCACCCAATCTCTCACCATTCAGCTCGCAGATTCTGAACGTTTTAGGATCACAGCAGCTGGTCGGAACGGCCAATCAGAGGACAGCGTCTCACTCCCAGCATGCACTGTGCGCATGGTGGTGATTGGGGACGACAGGACAGTGGCACAGCTTGCGCGTGAATACCATGCCCTCAGGTACCGTTCTGTTTGTCAGCATCAGCACAGCATCCTGATGCATCAGTGCTCCTGTGAGGAGGAGATCACCTCAGCTTCTTTACGTTAAAAAATATGAAAAGCAAAACTATACAAACGTTTACATACTTTCAGCTTTCCAGGCTAACATTAGAATGCTATCCAGCAGCATTAGCTTGCCATTTCACTGGTCTCCTCACAGCACATGGAAAAAAAAAACAGACTACTTTTCACAGCCATTACATCACTTCACATAGGAGTTGCCAGACATGGCCCACTGCCACTCTACTAACTTTGCACAGAGACCCATCATGCCCTATGGATACAGGAGTACAATGACTCCCATGATTGTGGAGACGTTACGCGGTATTCTTCAGTCCGAATACCCACTCGAAAGTGTCGTCCTTGTGTGATCATTTTAAACGCCCTGCAGAAAGAAGGAGGGGAGGCAAATCAACTTGTGCAGTGCGGGACTCGAGCTGCGTTTGTTTTACATCCCAGTGCAGTGCGAGCCAACGACCAATCTCTCACCTTCTTCTCCAAGGAACAACGCCAAAAAGGTACCTCGACACCACAACCTGGGATTCAATCACAAGGGCATGCTTATGGCCAGCTTCTACCGTCCAGCGCTTTTTTTTTTGTTTTCCTCATTGAGGGAAAAAGCACGGGGCTGGCATGAGTGCGTCAGTGACACACCTATCGTTGATTCGTGATTTGTTTTTGGGTTGGGCCTTCACAAGCACAATGCCAATGTGTTGTACTCCCTCCTCCACACGACACAGCTAGAAAATTGTAACTGTTCACACGACAAACACGCCACTTTCATAATGTGCGTATTTGTAATTTATTACCTCCGATTAGCACAGTTGGCTACGTACAGTGCGAAAGCAGTTCAACATACATACAGTTGTACCTAATTGTTAAATGTGTAATAAATTGGCACGTTTGTTCGCGAAACAATATTTTTTCGTTCAGCTGTGTCAGGTGGAGGAGGGTGTACAACACACATTTGGGGTGGCACTGTGGCGAGATGTTAACTATGCAGGAGGTTGTGAGTTAGATCCTGACCCTGACGACTGTATATTATTTAAATTTGAATGTAAACTATTTAAAATGAACAATGTTTTTACTTTACCAGGTAAGGTTCGCTTGTGAAAAAGAGCTATATGGCTGTATAGCTCTTTTTCAGAAACGACCTGGCCACAAATGATAGCTCAACAAAATGGCTTATCATGTGAACACTTATGGCAGCCAAATACGGTACTCAAAACGCATGTTTCTAAACATGGACAGAAAACACGGAGGACCCGGAGAAAAATCCACGTGACCACGGGGAGAGAGACATGCAAATTCCAAATATACAGCAGGCGTCAGAGTCGGGATCAAAGCCACGACCTCCTGCATACCAAACGTGGACGTTATCATCTCGCCGACGCAGCACCTGTGATCTGACCCAAAAAACTATTTGATGCAACATGTGCTTTCAGGACGGAAACCTACGTGTTAAAACACACCTGCCGTTATGAATAGTGCCGGCGACTGGTATCCAGCCGATGCGTTTTTTGGTCCCTTTTCCCCTCACATCCAGGACGCTGCAGCGCTGGCTGCTGAGTTTGGAGACCGCCTGCGAGTGGGTCAGTTCCTGGGCAAATCGGACGCATGGTACCGGCAAAATATCCAGCAGCTGGGACGCATCATGACCAACCTGCTGTCCATTCCGGTGTGTTTTTGTGTGCGCATTGTGGGGGAGCGGTAGTGTGGTTGTTAGCGCGCTGCGCTACGGACCCGGCGACCTGAGATTGATTCCCGCTCACGGCCAACACCAGTGACGATTATCTGAACCGGTCATGGGCCTCCCGTAGGTCGACTCAGCCTAAAAGGAGAACCTGGTGCGGTGTGTAAAATCATCGGCACTTGGGAGACAAAGGTGCCCGGGCGTGGTGCTGGCCACCACCTCCTCGTGTACCGTGCCGGCCTTCATAGGTGCAAGCGAACAGCACTAACCCCAACAGTCTGCTAAGGCTATATACGGGAGATCTTTGTCTTTTTGCACATTGTTGACTTCTCATATGTGCCGTGCGTGCATGAGCCCGGCATCTCAGCAATGTTGGTTCAGCGCTCTGACCCTCGACTCACCCGGCCACCTCCAATGCAAGTGTACATACACCTTACGTATGTGCATGGCCATTTTTGTCAGTCCACTGCTGGATAAGGACCTACTATGGGGTCGTGGGAGTTATTTGAACGTGCTTCAACTACGCTTGTCAGTACGGGTTTGTGTGAACGTGTGGGGAGCATAGATGTAGAGGCACAGAGGTACGGTACAACAATGGATGTTGCTGCACTGCCCTCTGCCACCTCTACCATGTATCCCAACAGCTGCCTTTAACATGTTATGCATGGTGACCGCAATTCAAAGTACCGTCCATACTCAACCATGCTTAGCATCTGAGATATGACGATATCCAATGCATTCAAATTAAGTATAAAGCCACATTTATATATGTATATTGTGTGCAGTCATTAGTAGCTGGGAAGTGACCATTATGAAGACATTATAAGGTCGCCCTTATTACGCACAAAGTGTTTGCCACAAATAAACCACAGTACCTTGCTGATCTCGTGAAGGAGCATAAACCATCACGCGGACTCCGGTCATCCTTGCAGCGGCTTTTGGCTGGCCGTCGAACAAAGATGGTCACCACATGGCAAGCTATCAGATGCACTTCTGTGGACATTTAGAACGCTCTTCCTTCCGGTATTAGGAGGCCACTGGAGCTATGCACTTTTAAAACGAGATTGAACACTCATTTCATTAGAACTACTTTTGTGTTTGGTTTGTTGTCCTTCACCCCGCATCTCCGATTAGCATGGTTTGCTATGTACGGTATGAAATAAGTTCAACATACATTATATTCCAGTCGAGCTACCACTGTGATGTCACTGGCTAAGATACAGAAAATGTATTCGGAACTAACAGAGCGAACATTGCGCGTGATATTAGATAACGGGCCCCAAGGTGATGTCACCACTTGTGAATTCACTTAAAATGGAGTCCGTTCCACCATAAATAGCACACTCATGGCCTGCAGAAAGAATATATTGTCCAGTAATTACGCTGAGCCTTTTTTTACCACAGAGGTGGACGATGCAAAAATTCAGTCTCATCGATGCTGCTTGGGCTGTGACCATCAATTCGCTCCACTTGACAACTTCATCTGAAGATCATGTTGGCCGCACGAATTTAAGCACAAATCTTTTCAACGGTGCCGGCTCATCGCTTTACAACGGGCGTTAAGCCCTCTGGGCTACACGGCCTTCTCTACCGAGTATATATTACCCTGATGAGGCTAGTGAGCAGAGTTAGGTTTCAGTGATTTTTTTTTTGCGGTGAGCTTCCTGTACAACTGTACAACTTTAGCCATGCCCTTCGGCCTCTGTCCGTTGTTTATTGGTGTTTTACAAACATGTCCACTTAGGAAACTTTCAAAAAGTGAGAAACGGTCGCAAAATATGTAATGCATCACGTGCCTCAGTAATGAAAGAAGTGAAATCGTGAGTGTGAAAGCTAGGAGTGTTTTTTTATTGGAAAAATGTGCAACAATGCAGTTGCCGAATTAAACGCAAAATTTCTACCCGTTTTATTATTACACTTTTGTTTTCTAAAAATTAGAATGCATTACACTCCGCCATATTTCGATCGTTGCGCGGTGCTCGGCTCTGTCGTTCGGAGGGCTCACAGGCGAAACCGACGCTGGCCCGGGAGATGAAATTGTGGCCTGATGTTTGGATGTTGGCTGCCGCACCAAGCGAGATTTGCCAACCATGGCAATTTAATTGCATGCAACCTTTGTATGTGTATGTGTGTGTGCGTATGTACGTTGAGCTTCTTTCGCACCGTACGTAGCCAACCGTGCTCATCGGACGTGCGGGGGGAAGGACAACAAACCGAACACCCACGCAAAACAAATCTTTGCATGCAGCGTTCTCATTTTCTAATGATGGCGGCGGTATAATCTGTGACATTTCAGGCAGTGGCCCCATCTTCAGAGCACATAAACAGAGAGACCAGAGAGAGCTAGAGTGGACAATGAGGGTCGGAGACTGCCCTTAACAGCAGTGGGGGTCTGTTGAGAATTACATTTAAGAAATCGTTTCTTGATGAACAGTTTTTAAATAGGCATGTGTTACCCTATATTCAAACTGTTCGATGCATGCGATTCTGAGGACCCTGTGACATCTTCCACAAGGATCGTTAGGTACTGATCATAATGGCTCTCGCTTTCCAACGTTGTTATGCAACGTGAATAATTCTGGTACAATGTTCTTCCTCTGTGGAACAGGAGAGGAAAAAACGTCATTAATCTTGGCAGATATTTATTCCAGTACTGGAATTGCATACGTAAAATGTATTGCCTACTTATTAAAGCAAATGCATTGATGGCAGCAATATGTCCTGGTCTTCAAAGTCTAAATAACCTTCCATTTAAATTCCCCAGTTTGTTTTTCGTCGAACTTCTGTTGAATAATATTCAAGAAATGCATTCATTCTTGAAGTACATCAACGCAGAAAGGGAAGATGATCAAATGTGACAAATGCAATTACAAGCTTAACGTAAACTGCTATCGCAGCTGAGTGTCAGGGTGAGCGATTCGCAAAGTTGCAAGTAAAAAAAAAAACCTGGTTGGTGGGGGGGGGGGAGTTCAGCCCACCATCCCCCCGGGGTCATTAAAATTTAGTGTCCCTTTGTGGAGAAGTCAACCAATGGCTGTCCTATGGATAGACTCACACCTTCCATAGGAATGAGGAATTTCCACCACTGGCACAGGGCTGAATCCAAGAGGTGAGCACCGACGTCTCAATGCTCACCCGAGCAGAAAGTCGTCTTCGCTGTGACTATATTTGTCATCATAATAATTGCCGCGTTGGCGACATTTTTATACACCGTAGCTCGTAGGGCCTGCGCCTATCGCGACCGTGGCTACGATGGGCGCCGGCCCGTTGGGTGCTTGCCCCTGTCAGTGAGGAGCCCTGTCTCTCTCTCATGTGCAGAAGGGCTCCCCCGTGCAGACGTCGGGAAGAGACATGCTGATCACGGACATCATGTGCGACTACATGCGGATGGCTCACGTGGTCGCTCCGCTGCCCCTCTACTCCGCCAGGGTGAGCGTTAACCCGTTGATACAGCTGCCTGTCTATCCCGAGCCTCTGTACCTCTGATAAGCACCGTTGGTTGTGTACGGATGCAAAGTGCACACATACACTCATTCATTCCTACAACTCTCTCTCTGTCTTTCTGTCCAGCTGCATGTCCTTCATTCTATATGTAAACTTTCAACTTACCTTTCTTAAGGGTCAATATGATGCCCATAACTTGCACGATGTGTTCCTGTTCCAGCCTATAATGAATACAAAGCGTGCGTCTCTCCACGCTAAATTTACGCACTTTTAGCCTTTCTTCAGCAGTGTCCATTTTCCTGACCCGTACATCATAGTGGGTAATAACACGCGGGTCCATTACGAAGACTATTCACGGGACCTAACAGATGACTTTGTTTGCAGTTTGAAATGGCTTCCGGAGAACAAGCAGAGGAGGTGTTTGTCACTCAACTTGAAATCAGGGACTGCAAACGATCGCCTGGTGGGTCTTCGCCGAGTTAAAATTGCCACGTTTTTTTCCCCATTATTATCGTCATCATCGCACCGTGTGCCGTTTTGATTTTCCCGCGGTAAGTGCTTTAAACCCCGTAGCTGTCTGGCATTGTTAGTTGCAGAGAATCACCAAAAGTTTGTTGTTAATTGGCCATTAAAGACCGCGTGATATCGTGTACAAAAGCAGGACATTGTATGCCGGTGTCATAGACAGAGCAATATTCAAGCCCCATCGACTCTCAGCTTGGTTAAATAAAGAGCGTCAATCTCTGGGGCAGAGTAGTGGCAAGGTGATTAGCGTACTGCACTATAAACCCAGAACCTGAGTTTGATTCCAAACCGTGGCTAACATCAGTGGTAACTTACAAAGTGCTGCTCATTAGCAAAACATTTCTGCTCATTATTCACACGACGTCATTACTATGTCGCTCCCAACATCACCGGTCTTTCAGGCTCGTACGTGTCCAACAAATGTGTCACACTGTTAACCTTTCATTTTCCATGCCATTGCGATTCCATCACTAGTTTATGCATTTGTTGGTAACTCAAAACTGAATTCGGTGTAAAGAAAACAAGCCTTTCACCTTGAACTTGGTTAACCTTATGCGGTAGGAAACAAGCAAGAACATGTTGATAACCATATCTTTCGCCCAGGGGGGGATAGTGAGTGCACACACACACACATTGGAGAAACATTGTAAACAATTGATTCGCAATGTTTTTCGTGGTATTTGTTTTTTTCATTCCAAAAAATCAGTTGCGGTGGACAGATAACACATTTGCTGGACTAGGATGCATTTAGAGTTTAGTGGATGGAGCCCAGTACCTAAAATTGATATTTGTTCTCACACTATTGCAGAAAAGCCATGGCAAAAAAAGCATCAACCTTGTGCTCAACAGAAATTCTGAGCTGCTGCAATGGAACACTTTTTTTGTATAGTGACGCAGGTTGCTGTAAATATCAGCTTCGATAGATAGATATTTTTTTAAATATTGTGCATGTACTAGGTGACTTTTCGGGAAATGGCCATAAATAGAGAGGTCAGGTAGATCGAGTGGATAATAAGAGTTGAAGACTGCACTTTACACCATGGGGAACGATAAGAATTAAGTGTAAAAAAAATGTCAGTACTGTATATGTTTGTATGTTGCAACTGTTTTTGCACCGTACGTAGCCAACCGTGCTAATCGGAGGTGCAATGAAAAGTAGTTTTTTTTATTGGCATACCGTGTGTAGCTATTGAGTAAAAGGCAACCCATCAATAATGAACGGTATTACTAAATAACAAATTTGTATTAAAAGTTAAATGAACAAATATTTCTGGCATATTGCACTATCGATAGAACTGCTGTAGGGAGGTAAAACAACAAAAAACAACATATCAGAATTCAAGTTTGATCACGTAGGCTTTTGCGACCAATATAATTCAGTAATGGATATCCATTATAATTTACATGCATACATTGACCCCCCCCCCCCTCCCACCTCTGGCCTTCGCACCTAATTGTCTCATAATTGACGAAATCACATTTATCCCTCTATTTAAGACCGAAACAGGAGGATTTCTTCACAAATCTGGCTGTCACCTGATGATGCTAATTGTAATTACTGGCGAAACGTCGTACTCGAATTGTAAATGTTATTGGTTTACTCTCCAACACACCGGTGTGCTGTAGCAGCAATGAACTGGCATGTTTTGTTTACGTGACAAACCTTACTAATTGGCTGTGTTAGGCAGTGGCATGTTTAACGACACATTTATATTTACGCGATCTAACCCAAAAAAAACTCTATTATGGATAATATTCGTCACGAAAGCCTACTACGTGTTACATGGGGTTAGGGAAGGTCTCGAGATTAGCATAATCCACTTGTTCGATTATGAAATATCGTGTGTTGTTACAAGCTGTTTATATTGTAGATAATTGTCATTGAGGACTTAAAGCTGGTAGAATTAACACCAAAATTTAAATGCGAGCCAAACGCATTTTATCCATGCCTCATTTAACCATCACCAATCAGAAGTGCACTTGCTTCTTTTTCTTGTCTATGAACGTCAAATAAATTGAAGGAAGCTTACAAAGGCCAAAAAAAATGAATTCTCAACATGAATACAGATGTATGACAAGGAATTATTTATTTTTTTATATTAGATACCACGAACGAATGGTCCATGCAAATTGTGCTATAGAAAACCGAGATTATGATTATTCATGAGTTCGAAGTCCAAGGCTGACAGCATTCTGCGTAAATACAGGTCAACTGTTGCAGGTCACACCGATGTGATTGTCCTGTAATTACAACGATCGCTGTTGTTGTTATCATAAGACGTGGTCATTGTGCGGCAGCGTCACGGCCAAATTGATCCTCCGACAGACCACTGACGCTTGCTGTCACACACGTGGCGACATCCGAGAGCAATGCAAAGCGACTGGAAAAAATAATAATAACACGTGATATGCTGCAGAGCAAATTCCATAGCGCTGTGGAATGCACGCAATTTATATCACCATGTGCCATTAAGACTTGTAGGAAAAACTAAAAACTCAAGTGTAGGAGTCGGCATATCTAGCATAGTGGCTGTAAGCTAAGGACCCTTTGAAATAATATGTCGTGTCTGGAACAACTAGTATCCTTTGCGTTATGCTGTGAAGAAGTGCCATTGCCCAAAGCATGCCCTATAATAGAAAGTATATTAACACATTCGTCAAAAACACTGTAGCCTCAAAATAAAATTGTATATAAACGGCAACGTTTTGGGTAACGGCCCTTCTTCATAGCACGTTATATATGTGTGTTTTCTTTCAATGCAGTGTCGTTGATGAGTGCGTGTTGAGTTTATTTAGTTGTGCTTGTGGACTACTGCCATTGTAGCGGCATCACGAAACATTACGTTCAATAGTGGAGATGGTGCCCCGAGCGACATTTACTTATCGAGAGACATTTCCAAAATTATTCTCCGAATCAGAAACCTGAATTCATCCTGGAGAAATCCGATGAGCTGCGAAGCTCTTTTTCGACAGATGTCCAGTGGGGGGGCTGGTCGTCAGAAAGTTACAACAACAAACACTACAACGACATATTCTTAGCTCTTTCGGTAAAGTCTCGTTGAAGGGAAAGAGCTAAGAATATGAATTACTGCAGTCACGAAAGCTTTAAATCAAAATACAACGACACATTATATGAGTGCAAAGTATAGGAAAGGTAATAACTGTCAGAAACTCCGTTCTCATTCTAGGGTTCTCAGCTAAATACATTTATATTTATAACGCATAGTAGACCATCGGCTGTTTCATTTGGTAGTTATAGCAACCTCAATAAAAGGGATTAAAGTTAAGTGACTGTAAGCGCGGGCACAGCAACTGTGTTATTATTGTGTTGCAGGGAGAGAGAAAAAAACAATTCAATTCGTCCTTGAATGTGTTTCTTAGCGCTGGGAGTGGGACCCCTCCCTGTCCTTCAAGGGATAGACATTGCCCCCTCCCTGTCCTTCAAGGGATAGACATTGCCCCCTAGTGTCATGTTCCCATTGCTACACTCCAAATCAGTTTTTTGTAAGTACCCCGTGAGCTCAGAAGCGCTTAAGTGCGGCTTTTCGCCAATAGCAAGCAAACACCTTGACAGCCATAACACATAAGAAAAAAATAGATGGATAATCAAACATTTTAAAAAGGTAAGAAATGGTATAATTTCAAATGTATCTTTTAAAAGTTTTAAATCAATTCAGGAAGAAGAAAAAAGTGCAAGATTAGGCATACAATGAGGCATAAAAAATAACAAGAATATGGTAATGAATTCGTGGACTTGATAATTGCACTAAATTAATGAATAGGTTTTTTTTAATGTGCATGCGAATACATTTAAATACATTTCGGAGCCAATTTTAAGTCCGATCACGGCACATTCGAACGTAACTTTGCGTTGTGTGTGAGGGCGGCCTGAAATAGCGCTGTTGACAAAAAAAATCGCTGTTAAATTAATGAGAATGACTTATTTACACAGGAAGCCAGATTTAGATTTTCAGGAGGGTCCTGCATCGCATTACTTTGAATTACCGAGTTTGCAGCCAATTAAGGAGCGTTTACATATGCGATATGAAAGAGAGCAGCACCTGGAGAAATCCATGAGAGTCTTTTTTTGGGGTTAGATCGCGTAAATATATAAACGTGTCTTTAAAACACACCACCGACACAGCCAACTAATAAGGGTTGTCACGTAAACAGAACGTGGCCAAATCGTCACTCGTACAGCACACCGGTGTGTTGGAGAGCCAAGCCACAACATTTACAATCTGAGTACGACGTTTCGGCAGTAATTACAACCAGCTTCATCAGGCGTCAGCCAGATTTGTGGAGAAGTCTCAACTGTTTTGTTCTTCATATAGAGGCGTAGATGTGTGTTAAACTCACCTGGAGAAAACCCACGCGTGCGAAGTAGCAACACTCTATCCCATTACAGAGGGCACAGATGATATTAGACCACACTTGTTGTACCGCCAGCTGAATTGTGTTTCGTAGGCCTTAAGCGATAATTTTCCGCAGTTGGTAGTGCTGCTGTCCCGTGTCACGACTACCACCGCTGTCACTCCGCTTGTCTCACGCGTAGCACAACAACGCCGCCTTGTCTTCCCTTGCACCAACTCCCTATTGAGGATGAGATTGTGCGCAAAAACACCATTTGAAGATGTTCTTGCAAATTTTGCAATGACAAAATCTCGAGAAAGTTCATCTCCGGTGTTAATTTCTCTCTCACCCCATGAGAAAGAAAAACAATTGACATGACTCTGCCTCTTTGTATATACACGGTGCCTATCTTTGCTATATATATAAATATATTTATTCAAGAAGATATCTGGGTTATATGTTTTATCACACGAAAAAAGAGGCCCATTAGTTGTCGTAGGCCCTAGACACAGTGCCTACAATGTCTACTGTGTTTTTGTTTTTTTGTTGTTGTGGTTGCACCCGATTCAAGAGCCGAATGGCTCACAGGGCTATACCAAAATAAATAAACTTAAAAAACTGAAACTACTACGATAATACGGCCCTGGCGGTACAGCAATGGGAAGGGGAGTTTCGCAACATGTGTGTGTGATCCACCAACCGTTGCTGCTGCCTCCACAGTTATGGATTACATACTCTGGACATAGGCACACATAATATAAGCACAGTTATTATTCACACCTCGAGTGCAGCAGTTTTACAATTGTAATAAGCAAATCATACTTACGTCATTTACTTCAATCGCATGATGATTTGATTGCGATTGTGTTTCTAGATGCGACTGTGCCAAGAAAAGCAGCACTCCCCGATGAGAAAGAAGCCTTGCTATTCGAGATCCAATACACAAAGGTAACTATGAGGGCCTCGCAAAAGGATATTCAAAACAATGCACGGTCCCCTATTTAAAAATTGCCCCGATCCCCTGTTAATGTTATTTTACAGCTTGATTAGAACACAAAATGCTATTTGATACGATATTGCTTTTTATATATATCTCCACATATATCAAAAGCAAAGTTGTGAATGTGTCTCTGTTCAAAATGTTTAGCGTACTTCCCGACATGCAACAAACTGGAAATTTGCCATGTGGGTACTTTCCAGACTGTACACCATGCAAAAATTATAAAAATACACTTTTGTTTTTTTTGGGGGGGGAGCTCAATAATGCATTTATCTTTTGCACGGCAAGTGAGCTGTGACGTCAAATCTGTCACGTGACCCGCACGTGTGGAAGCGTAACGCATTGTAGTGTAGTGGTTAGCGCGCTTCGATTCCCGCTCACGGCCACCACCGGTGACGAATATTTGAACAGGTCATGAGGCCTCCCCTAGGTCGACTCAGCCTCAAACGAGTAACTGCTGTGGTGTGTGAACATCGCCACTGGGGAGACAAAGGCGGCCGGGCGTGGTGGATCCAAGTCGAAGCTGGGTAGTACAGCTAGTGTTATTCATATACGTTAAAAATAATCACATTTCCATCACTCATTCAGGACCACCAACAACAATGTACACCGTATGATGAGGATGTAGTTGCCTGTGGCCTTTAATTTATGGCTGCGATGGATGAGTAGTCTTGAAATGTATTAGCACGGCTGGCCACGTTCGGTGCGAAAGAAGTTCACCGTTCATACCTGAGATTTGAAATGCCTGAAAAAGAGAGTACACTGTCAAATAAAGTATTCCCTTTAATCTTGATTTGAAGCTTTCGTGACTGCAGGAATCCATACTCTTTGGTTCTTTCGGTAAAGTCACGTAGGAATAAAATAAACTAAATCACGACGTTTCCCTTTAATGTCTAGAGGGATTTTTTTTTTATTGCAGCACCAGTTCAAATATTAGATATGAACTTTCCAGAACATATTGTATAGTACAATGTATTCTGTCATTATATCTTCTATAATTAAGAAGTAGAGTACATTGTTTTGTCAATCCACTGCTGGATTAAGGCCTTCCCTACACCACCTCAGGCATGTGGGTTGTTTGACCACACTTGACCGTGCTAGTCAGTGCGGGTTGGTGGAAGGTGGGCCCATGTCAGGTTCAGATATCGCTCGTCACTGATGTTAGCCATGACCAGGATTTGGATCTTCGGTCATCGGGGTTCACGACAGTGCACTGACCACTGTGCCACTGTTCTCACATATTGAGAACACAAAACACTATAATAAATTAACGTATTGGCGGTACACTGGTGTTGCGCGGTAAAGAAATGCACATTTTTCGCAATAATTATGTGATTTCCCACGATTCGCAACCCCTGGTCGGAAAATCTTGCGTGGTGGTGGTACGTCAAAATCAGTTCCCGTGATGTCGAAGCAGTTGGAAGACGAATGTCTGGTCAAATTTTTATTTCAGACTGTTTTATGAATACCGGTGTGTTATGCTGCACCGGTGTACCGCCAATACATTCAAATGCATTCAACACTTTTTAATAGCATTCAACTCGTTTTCATATGACTTTAGCCCCCAAAATGTATTATTTTACAAACATCCAACTCTTTTGAGTATTAGCCCGATCCTACGTGGGTACACTCCACATGCAAAACACTCATTGATAGTTTAGGCCAAACATCCCAATGCAAGAATCTGCTGGTAATCTGTTGAGACTCAGAGGCTTTCCTTGTTATAAAGAGTCGTTCTTCTTTTGTGCTATTGCAGCGAAGCACGATCCTTATGTATAAATTTAGTTGAAGGGCTTTATGACGAGGGGGGAGGGTGGTACGACGGGGGGGGAGCTGCGGGGATGGAACTCCCGACTTGTGGTGCTGAGTGTGAGCGTTGTCGGCGCCACTAGGTGGACGGAGCCACCCGCTCCTGCAGCTTGTGGGTGTGAGGTGGAGTGTGGGGGCAGTTAACGGGCAGCCACGAGGGTGTCAGTTGGGGGCAGTTAATGGGCAGCGAGGTTGTCAGTTGGGGGCAGCCCCGAGGCTGTCCGTTGGGGCAGTTAATGGGCAGCCGCGAGGCTGTCAGTTAGAGGCAGTTAACGGGCAGCCGCGAGGCTGTCAGTTAGAGGCAGTTAACGGACAGCAACAAGGCTGTCAGTTGGGGGCAGTTAACGGGCAGCCACGAGGCTCTCAGTTGGGGGCAGTTAATGGGCAGCCACGAGGCTGTCCGTTGGGGCAGTTAATGGGAAGCCGCGAGGCTGTCAGTTAGAGGCAGTTAACGGGCAGCCACGAGGCTGTCAGTTGGGGGCAGTTAACGGGCAGCCACGAGGCTGTCAGTTGGGGGCAGTTAATGGGGAGCCGCAAGGCTGTCAGTTGGAGGCAGTTAACGGGCAGCCGGGAGGCTGTCCGTTGGGGGCAGTTAACGGGCAGCCACGAGGCTGTCCGTTGGGGGTAGTTCACGGGCAACTACGAGGATGTCAGTTGGGACAGTTAATGGGAAGCCGCAAGGCTGTCAGTTGGGGCAATTTAGGGAGCAGGAGAGACGATATACAAAGGGGTGAAATAGCAGTTCCAGGCAGTTAAGCCTGGACAGCAAAGGGAGTGGCTGGGTCGTGAGCGCTCCATCGAAAGTAATAGGATAAATAGGCGTAGGAGTGTAAACAATAAGTTACCAATTGTTACAATTGTGAATATATTTTCATGAAATTGTGCTACCCATTCTGTAAAAATATACACGATTGTCAGCGTCTTCTCTTCCTGATTATACATAGCAACATTTAGGCGACGTTACACTGTGCATATTCATGAGTACTTAATCGGAGAGATATTAACAATACGTTACTATAAACAATGGTCCATGGAAAGGGTTGATCTGAGAAGCAATCAAGTATAATTTTATTAAAATGTAAAATTTACGTGAATGATGTATTCATATTCTTGGTTCTTTCGGTAAAGTCACGTTGAAGGGAAACAATAAAATAATAAAATATATATAAAACAATAAAATTATCACGATGTATTCATGTAGGTTTTTTTTTTTATTCGTAACGGTAATCATAGAATAAAAGTGGGGGGAAAAGATACATTTGTACCAAAAGTTTCGTTTTGGATCATGAACTACTGTGTCCATCGCATTGTGGAAACAGTGATTTGGTTTCTCTGGGATAACCTAAAGTTGAACGTGAATACGATTACACATTTGTATTTCTGAAAAATTAACGAGAACATGCAAATGTTTGGTTATGTATCACAGGCACGTATTGCAGCACAAGAGGGACCATTTAATTGTCGGCATGGTAACTGAAAATTGCCCCTGAGCATGAGAGGAAATCAATTCCTCATCAATATCCTTTCCATTTCAAAAATTCTAAGCTCATGCATTGCTCAAATCAAATTTGAAGCTCATTCGTCCATGCAGTGATTAATCCCTTGCCACTTGCAAAGTTCATCCTCCTACGACATTAGTAAAGTGTAACAAAAATGTAACTATTATCTACAGAATTTCCCAAATGTAATTCAATCCGCTTACTTTTGCGTCTAAGAAATCCATTAGGGTCAGATAAATTCAAGATCAGTGCATCTTTTGAGTCGCTGGTTAAATTTCTCAACATATGCTTGCCATAAATTCAATCAACAGCATTGGTTGAAGAAATCGGTTTACATTGTAAAATATTATACAATATTAATTACGTTCCTTTGTCAATCCCCTGTGGGATGAAGACATTCCCACGCCATGTCAGTCGTAGAGGAGTTGTTTGACCATACTTCACCGTTGTTGGTCAATGCAAGTTCGTGAAGTGGTGATCCAGGACCAATTCGGATCTCTTCGCGCCACCGATCTTATCCGTGGCCAGGAATCCAACTAAATTAACGAGATATTTCGCACAGTGCGCAAACCACTGCCACCATTGCAATATCCTATCACAGACCAATGATGTGTGCGATATCAGATATTTAGCAACAAAGCAAGTGACCGGTGTATCTCAGAGGTTTCGTTAGCAATGGGGGCGGTGATGTGTGGGTTCCGGGATTCCCCGAAGAATGTTGAAACGTTTAAATGTTGTGCGGATGGCTCACTCTGAATTTCTGTGCACAGGTGCCAGTGTGCACGCCCATGTCTGCGATGCTCGTCAAGATGTCAAAGTTTCTGACTGCGATCAAGATAGAGGCCATCACTGCTGACGGCACAGGTGCAATCGCATCCTCATCTTGCAGGAACAACTAGTAGGGATAGTCCGAGTGGCCTAGTGGATAGCGGCGGACACGGCTTGCCACCGAGGCCATTTTGCATCGGGACTAACGGTGCAACTGTGGCATTCCATTCACAGTACTACACTACAGCATGCCAGTGGTCTGTTTGGAGGTGGCGAGAGGGGTGCCAGGGTGGCGAGATGTTAACTGCCTCGATCCCGACCCTGACGCCTATTGTATATTTCGAGTTTGCATGTCCTCCACGTGGTAGCATGCATTTTGTCTCCGAGTTCTCCCATTGTTCCCTCCACAATTAAAATCACGCGTTTTAGAGTACTTGGCTGCTTTAAATGTCCACGTGATAATCCATTTCGGTGAGCTATCATTTGTGGCCAGGTCGCTTCTGAAAAAGAGCTATATAGCTCAGCGGGCCTTACCTGGTAAAAGAAAACAAAAATTCGTTAAATAGTTTAATAAATACCCCACTGGCTTATCATGACCCTCTTCATGGCTCAATATTGCCATTGAATATGTGGATGCCAATGGATCCCTAACTTACAGAGGAAAGCGTTTAAAGATGTGGATTGAGATCAATGCGAGACACGTTCGAGGCTTTGAAATAAAATATTACATTCCGTGTAATTTATCTTGTTTTGGTGGGGTGTCTATAAATGGATCACCATTTATATACTTACTGTGCCCTCCGCAGTGGCGCATTGGTAAGGTCACCGCGCATTATTCACCGTTGTCGAATGTAAAAATTCTAAAGCGGTGAAGTGAAAAGTTTCGGGAGGCAGCAGACAAGCCAGGCAGGCGGCCACACAATCACTGGGTCAAGCGAGTGACCATTCGCAAAGCGCAGCGGCGGGCCAACAGAGGCCGTGTCTCAAGAAGCCACGCGTGCACTCGCCCGTGCACCTGCCTCTCTCTGCCTGCCACTCCGACCTCACCTCACCTCACTCCCTACCACACGTCCATCCATCCGAGAAAAAAAAAACATTCCTTTCTCTCTACACCGATCACACCCCCCCGCCCCCCGCTCAGTGCCGGCTTACGTCTCAATGCCTGCGAACCTCACACTTGTCTGGGTCTCTACTGGCCACTGCCATCCACAACAACTCTCCACTCTTGCTGGATCAATCCAGACTGCAAACTTTTCCTAGCCGTAGTCTTTGCTTGTACATCAACTTGTGCAGCTTTTTTTGACGTTCCTTTTGAAAATCAAACTTTGTGTCATTTGTACCATCGAAATATACAGCCCCTTTTGTAATTTCACTGCAGGATGGAGGGCCTCCCCATGCCATCATGTGATTTGTGGGGGGGAGTTATTTGACCGTATTTCACCACGTGGGTCAGTGCGGGTGAAATGTGGTCAGCCAATCCTCTTGACTGACACGGCACGGGGCGACCCCTTCATCCAGGAGTGGATTCATATAGAGCTGGTAATTATTGTGATTATGGTTAGATAATGCAGCAAACATTTGTTCATGTGGTTAGAATGCTTAGCACACACAAATAGCTGCGTGTTAAAATCCTGGCTTAAAGTGAACTCTGCCTATCATCCTTCCTGCATGGATGCGGTACAGCACTCCCGCGTGATTTTGGAATGTACCATGTGTTGTTCGGCAATGATGTTTGACGTTTCACTCTACGTTCTGGGAGAATCTTAAAAATAATTCACCTCCTGAGGACTCGAGCAGCACGTGGAGCAAAACGGTGGACATCATGCCAAATACAAATGCGGTGCATCCCAAAACAACACCTCAAAGAGAGAGATGTGTGCCTATTTTGTGGGGAAGTCATTGTTGGTTGTCCTACGTGGAGGCTTAGCACCACGAATATGTGAAATTTATACCATTGGAATTTACATCATGAATGTGGAATTTACACCATTGGAATTTACAACGTGAATATATTTAATTTACACCATTGGAATTTACACCATGAATGTGGAATTTACAACATTAGCTCAGGGCCACCAACAGACAGCACCACCCTGTACTGTTATTTGAGCACAAGAGACACTTTGATTTATTTTGACTCGATGACACTGATATACCCAGGAACATTGCTTATCAATCTTAATGGATATCTGGCTCGTGCTGAATGATAATAATAATGAAATATCTGGGTCTTGCGTTGAAAATAGCCAATAATGTTTCATGACCATTCTGCCGTTTACAATTTACCAGCGAAACGTCGTATTAAAATTGTAAATGTTGTGGATTTACTCTCCAACACGCCGGTGGGTTTAAGTAGTAACTAATTGGTGCGTTTTGTTTACGTGACAAACCTTAATGGCTGTGTCGGGTGGTGGAGGGTTATGACACATTTATACTTACACGATCTAACCCAAAAACCTTTATTATGAATATTGGTCACGAAAGCCTACGTGTTAAAGCCTTGTTGTATTCTGCCCCCTAGTGATAAGTATTCATACTGTACATAATTGTATCGGAAAACATTCATAAACTGAATGCACTTTTAAGCAGAATTGGGCTATCCGATTATTTCAGTAGCCGATTGCCACCGATTATCGATTTAATTGCTCGACGAATTAGATAACATGACATTTGGAAGGATAAATGTCACAACCTGCGACGCCCCTTGTGCCGCTGGACGGTAGGTTATGAGCGGACTTTGTGACGTCATTGGTGCTGGGCGTGGCTTATAGGGGTTTCCCTCCTTCGGGAGGCAGAAGGTGCGGGTGGTTAGGCCTGAGTAAAAGACTGCAAGAAGAGAGGTCGATTGCAACGTTTTTTATAGAGTGACTCAAATTAACTCATCGTACCAATTCTACTTTTATGCATTTAGTAAAAAAAATATGGAATACTGCAGATAAAATGTTCCCGGCTCATAGTGCTACCGTTTACAATTGCATACCATGTGATTTGGATTTGGCCACTTCGTGCGGGGGGGTGGGTGGGTGCAGGGGGGGGGGGCGTAAAAGTTTATCATTGACACGCATTAACGTCTGTCTGTGTGACATTTTGGCCGCATTGTGTGCAACCGCTGCTCACAACCCCGCCTTCTCATCCCCACGTTGCACCTCGTCCCGTGTGAAGATGCCGGTGGCCTCACTGTGACGTTCATGGAAACGAGCAATGCGAAGGGCCGCCGTTCGAACGACAAGGTATCTAACAATGCCCATCAAATTAAGAGAGTTTTTTTTTTACTTTAAATCTCTCAATCTCCGCGAGTTTTGAGGGCTACACGTAACATTTTCCACAGTAGCACACCAGAAAGTGCAATAAAGTGCTTGTGCAAGACATGTCAGTGCAGCAACAGTGATTGTTACACTGGACCACGCTCCTATGTCTGTGTTGCTCACCTTCGCCAATTCGCACCGATCATCAGCGTGCAGAAGAATGGTGACACAACGAATTAAAAAAAAAAACGAGAAAAGATAGGCAACTGAACGTCGCCATGTCAGGGCCGGGAAAAAAATATTTCCAGGTAATTCTACAATATGTTATATAATAGGATTTTATACCAGTGGAGCAATGTTCTGACGTATATCTATACGACAATACCATAGGTGCAATATACTACACTTTAAAAGTCAATAAATGATATCTACTTAAGCAATTATGAAAGGGGATTGCCTGAAACATCGCCTATTATATATTTATATTTTTGAGGCAGTGTTATTGACAAAGGTGTGTTTTTTACGTATGTTTGTGCTTGTGCACCACTGCCAATGCAGCAGTGTTACGAAATAATTTGTATATTTTAGCAAAGAAGACAACTTTGGCCTGAGCCATCATGCGATCAGTTATAGTCGTGTTAAATCATCACTACGTTTGGTACTCACACCATAGTCATAGTGCAAGGCTATCACAAAGACACTGCTGGGTATAGTCTACGGTAGTTTAACAGTATGGGGCGATGTTGCTATGAGCTTTCCCAAGAAACTAATTTATTGTGATTGTCATCTTAATGTATACAGTATTGTTCTACAATGTAAACGGTACCTGCACTATCTAACCCATTGTTCTTCATTGCAAGACCCGCAAGCCACTGACGGCCCCTGGTGGCCTTTAGTGCGGCCCCTGATCTGCTGCCCCGCACAATACATAAAGAGTGACAACACCCCCCAATATCATCATCATCATCATGCTGCTGTCAAACACCAACAACATCGTCATCATCATCGTGCTGCTGTCAAACCCCAACATCATCATCATCATCGTGCTGCTGTCAAACCCCAACATCATCATCATCATCGTGCTGCTGTCAAACCCCAACATCATCATCATCATGCTGCTGTCAAACACCAACAACATCGTCATCATCATCGTGCTGCTGTCAAACACCAACAACATCATCATCGTGCTGCTGTCAAACCCCAACATCGTCATCATCATCATGCTGCTGTCAAACCCCAACATCATCATCGTGCTGCTGTCAAACCCCAACATCATCATCATCATCGTGCTGCTGTCAAACCCCAACATCATCATCATCATCGTGCTGCTGTCAAACCCCAACATCATCATCATCATCGTGCTGCTGTCAAACCCCAACATCATCATCATCATCGTGCTGCTGTCAAACCCCAACAACATCGTCATCATCGTGCTGGTGTCAAACCCCAACATCAACATCATCATCATGATCGTGCTGCTGTCAAACCCCAACATCATCATCATCGTGCTGCTGTCAACCCCCAACATCAACATCATCATCGTGCCGCTGTCAAACCCCAACATCATCGTCATCATCATCGTGCTGGTGTCAAACCCCAACATCATCATCATCATCGTGCTGCTGTCAAACCCCAACATCGTCATCATAATGCTGCTGTCAAACCCCAACATCATCATCATCATCGTGCTGCTGTCAAACCCCAACATCATCATCATCATCGTGCTGGTGTCAAACCCCAACATCATCATCATCATCGTGCTGCTGTCAACCCCCATCATCATCATCATCGTGCTGCTGTCAAACCCCAACATCATCATCATCGTGCTGGTGTCAAACCCCAACATCAACATCATCATCATGATCGTGCTGCTGTCAAACCCCAACATCATCATCATCATCGTGCTGCTGTCAAACCACAACATCATCATCATCATCGTGCTGCTGTCAAACCCCAACATCATCATCATCGTCCTGCTGTCAAACCCCAACATCATCGTCATCATCATGATCGTGCTGCTGTCAAACCCCAACATCATCATCATCATCATCGTGCCGCTGTCAAACCCCAACATCATCATCATCATTATCGTGCTTCTGTCAAACCCCAACATCATCATCATGATCGTGCTGCTGTCAAACCCCAACATCATCATCATCATCGTGCCGCTGTCAAACCCCAACATCATCATCATCATCATCGTGCCGCTGTCAAACCCCAACATCATTATCATGATCGTGCAGCTGTCAAACCCCAACAACATCACCATCATCATCGTGCTGCTGTCAAACCCCAACATCATCATCATCATGATCGTGCTGCTGTCAAACCCCAATGGTTTCAAATGTGTGGCGGCCCTCACACTGATGGCGTCTTATCGGCGAAAGTGCCCCCCCCTCCCCTCTGAAAATTAGTGAAGAACACTGCTCTAGTTATAAATTAGTGAAGATCACTGCTCTAGTTATACATTAGTGAAGATCACTGCTCTAGTTATAAATTAGTGAAGATCACTGCTCTAGTTATAAATTAGTGAAGATCACTGCTCTAGTTATACATTAGTGAAGATCACTACTCTAGTTATACATTAGTGAAGATCACTGCTCTAGTTATAAATTAGTGAAGATCGCTGCTCTAGTTATAAATTAGTGAAGATCACTGCTCTAGTTATAAATTAGTGAAGATCGCTGCTCTAGTTATAAATTAGTGAAGATCACTGCTCTAGTTATAAATTAGTGAAGATCACTGCTCTAGTTATACATTAGTGAAGATCACTGCTCTAGTTATAAATTAGTGAAGATCACTGCTCTAGTTATAAATTAGTGAAGATCACTGCTCTAGTTATAAATTAGTGAAGATCACTGCTCTAGTTATACTTTAGTGAAGATCACTGCTCTAGTTATAAATTAGTGGAGAACACTGCTCTAGTTATAAATTAGTGAAGAACACTGCTCTAGTTATACATTAGTGAAGATCACTGCTCTAGTTATACATTAGTGAAGATCACTGCTCTAGTTATAAATTAGTGAAGATCACTGCTCTAGTTATACATTAGTGAAGAACACTGCTCTAGTTATACATTAGTGAAGATCACTTGTCTAGTTATACATTAGTGAAGATCACTGCTCTAGTTATAAATTAGTGAAGATCACTGCTCTAGCTATAAATTAGTGAAGATCACTGCTCTAGTTATACTTTAGTGAAGATCACTGCTCTAGTTATAAATTAGTGGAGAACACTGCTCTAGTTATAAATTAGTGAAGATCACTGCTCTAGTTATAAATTAGTGAAGATCACTGCTCTAGTTATAAATTAGTAAAGATCACTGCTCTAGTTATAAATTAGTGAAGATCACTGCTCTAGTTATACATTAGTGAAGATCACTGCTCTAGTTATAAATTAGTGAAGATCACTGCTCTAGTTGTAAATTAGTGAAGATCACTGCTCTAGTTATAAATTAGTGGAGAACACTACTCTAGTTATAAATTAGTGAAGAACACTGCTCTTGTTATAAATTAGTTGAGAACACTGCTCTAGTTATACATTAGTGAAGATCACTGCTCTAGTTGTACATTAGTGAAGATCACTGCTCTAGTTATAAATTAGTGAAGACCACTGCTCTAGTTATAAATGAGTGAAGATCACTGCTCTAGTTATACATTAGTGAAGATCACTGCTCTAGTTATAAATTAGTGAAGATCACTGCTCTAGCTATAAATTAGTGAAGATCACTGCTCTAGTTATAAATTAGTGAAGATCACTGCTCTAGTTATAAATTAGTGAAGAACACTGCTCTAGTTATACATTAGTTAAGATCACTGCTCTAGTTATAAATTAGTGAAGATCACTGCTCTAGTTATACAATAGTGAAGACCACTGCTCTAGTTATACATTAGTGAAGATCACTGCTCTAGTTATAAATTAGTGAAGATCACTGCTCTAGTTATAAATTAGTGAAGATCACTGCTCTAAATTTTGATTTAAAGCTTTCGTGACTGCAGTAATTCATATTCTTAGTTTTTTCGGTAAAGTCACGTTGAAGAGAAACAACAAAATAACAAATATATATTTTGTTATTTTGTTGTTTCTCTTCAACGTGACTTTACCGAAAAAACTAAGAATATGAATCACTGCTCTAGTTATAAATTAGTGAAGATCACTGCTCTAGTTATACATTAGTGAAGAACACTGCTCTAGTTATACATTAGTGAAGATCACTTGTCTAGTTATACATTAGTGAAGATCACTGCTCTAGTTATAAATTAGTGAAGATCACTGCTCTAGCTATAAATTAGTGAAGATCACTGCTCTAGTTATACTTTAATGAAGATCACTGCTCTAGTTATAAATTAGTGGAGAACACTGCTCTAGTTGTACATTAGTGAAGATCACTGCTCTAGTTATAAATTAGTGAAGATCACTGCTCTAGTTATAAATTAGTGAAGATCACTGCTCTAGTTATAAATTAGTGAAGATCACTGCTCTAGTTATACATTAGTGAAGATCACTGCTCTAGTTATAAATTAGTGAAGATCACTGCTCTAGTTATAAATAGTGAAGATCACTGCTCTAGTTATAAATTAGTGGAAGAACACTACTCTAGTTATAAATTAGTGAAGAACACTGCTCTTGTTATAAATTAGTGAAGAACACTGCTCTAGTTATAAATTAGTGAAGATCACTGCTCTAGTTATACATTAGTGAAGATCACTGCTCTAGTTATAAATTAGTGGAGACCACTGCTCTAGTTATAAATTAGTGAAGATCACTGCTCTAGTTATAAATTAGTGAAGATCACTGCTCTAGTTATAAATTAGTGAAGAACACTGCTCTAGTTATACATTAGTTAAGATCACTGCTCTAGTTATAAATTAGTGAAGATCACTGCTCTAGTTATACAATAGTGAAGACCACTGCTCTAGTTATACATTAGTGAAGATCACTGCTCTAGTTATAAATTAGTGGAGAACACTGCTCTAGTTATAAAT